TTATCATCTAGAAAAGAGCTCAATCAACTTTGGATACTAAATAAAGGCAATCGCTGCTTACTAAACAAAGGGGTTTTATTAAGTATACGCCTTCGTGAATGTGTCGAAATTGTCGAGAATGTAAAAGACTCATTCTGGCACAAATGAGACGCGCTGCAGGTTACAATACAACACTGCATCAGCACTTACAAAGGTACCTTTACACAAAATTGGCTCCATTCTTGCACACCCGATAAAGGTATTTTACCTTTACTACGCTAAAAGTGTAAAGCTATTTAATCTCAGACAATAGCCGTTCATTTCTTCTACAAGCTTACAATTACACCTGTGCTTTGTTGACGTAATTAGAATACCATAAAATAACACTAGCTGTTAGAATACAGTTCAGTAATAAGAAAAATAAGGGTTATTATTGCTTGAACAGACAAATTAAAGTCAATTCGGAATGTTGTAATTGTATGAGAGTCGGAATGTTGGTAGCACTCGGACGCCATGGCTGCGCTGACTCTTGACGTACGACTTTACTGTAACAACATAATGCTGTACGCGTTTATGGTCATAAACAGCAAAGAATATGTAAACAGTCGAACTGAAATCGCAATGATTTACTTCGGAACTCTGGTTTACCGTATCATTGCTAATCTCATGAAACATCATGACATCAGCCGATTTGACTCCAACGCGGTTTCCTTCCTCCCACCTTGTCTTCTGAACTACTTCGCGGACTATCGCCCGTCTTGAATGACACTATCAACCATATTCTATAAAAATTTCATCCATTTTACGGCTTTAATAGCAGTGATTAGTGTGTTTAATTACATGTTCAAAGGAGCGATATAGGAAATCTTAGCATCCTAAGCTGGTGTTCTTGAATATCGGCTCAGAGTCCTTTAATGAAGAATCAGCTGTTACTTCTTGCTATCAACTCACTTCATGTTTGTTACGGTTTTGGTGAAGAGAATAGAGACGCATAGGTCGTAGAGAGTCTATCTAACATGGTGGATCACAGCAAAAAACTGATTATTTCATAGTAATTAGTGGACGCAACCGTATTGAAGGACGCTTAAACGAAAACCAAACTACTGTAAAATTTTTTAAGCCGACGTACTGCCAAACGTAGCACAAAGCATGACGTCGTGTCCCACTTACAGCTGGTATATGATAACACTATTACCATTTATAATCAACTGTTTATCACAAATTCTCATTGAAACATTTGTATATAATCTTTGATCCATTTCGTCAAATGTTTTTTAACCTGGGCTATAAACAATTTGATATAGTCTGTACGATTGTTTCAAAGCCTTACCGAGGTTGTTACGTGAGAGCCATGCGCGTCTCAGAGGTATTCCCCTCATCAATGACCCACGCCCCCACACTGAACCCTGCTTTACAGCAGAGGTGGGGAGACGTATGTGGTGAAAGCACATGATATTGTGTTGTCACCAACTTTTCATCAGTTGGTGGATTGCGGGTGGTAGGACATAAATTGATGCATCTCACACCTTTTGTTTCAATTGTTTGCTGAAAACCCACGCTAAAAAATTCAATTTGCCAGATAATCATTTATTTGAGCCACGCATGTGGTTCGTTATGGGGCAGACTCATAGAATCCGATACACGTGTTTCGACCTAGGGACAGTCTCATCAGTCAAGCGGTTACCCTTCGTCTTTTAGCTAATCCTCTCGGGGTGCTCCAGTCCTCATACTAAGGGTAGGCGACGACGCACATTCGACACCTTTCATCAAATGAAGTTATCACTGAATGGAAAATGGATACGTTTATCGAGCACCACAAGTCTGCTTTATAAACAGACCACAAGCGTGGTTAAAAAAGCTCATTTAGCATATTGATTTATCTCCTTATCATGTGTTACCCCCACATACGTCTCCCATCCCTGCTATAAAAAGTAGGGTTCAGTGTGAGACGTGGGTCACTGATGAGAAGGGCGATACCTTCATAACGTGTATGACTCTGACGTAACAACCTTAGCAAGGCTTCAAACTTTTTTACAGACTATACTGAATGTTTATAGCGAGGTTAAAAAACCAACCAATGAGATGGATCAAAAATTATAGATGAATTTTTAATGAGGTTTCTAATAAACAGACGAATATAAAAGATATTATACTATCGTTATACCAGCAGCCATCCACCAATACTACTCGGATCTCTTCGCTACCCATGTCCTCTTACCGTCATATAAATTGAAAGAGGACGAATATGTCGTCCCACCGGTCCTCCCTTCCGAAATCCGACATGCTATATCGTCAGTGAAAAACAGAACAACACCCGGTCCAGACAGGATTAGACCAGAACACCTGAAGAACCTGCCGCCAGTTCTCATCAACACCCTGGCTCGGCTCTTCACTCGCTACCTGTCAGAATGCAAGGTCCCTATTCAATGGAAAACCAGCAAGACCGTATTGTTGTTCAAAAAGGGAGACCTTCACGACATAGGCAATTATCGCCCAATCTGCTTGCTGTCCGTTGTCTATAAACTCTTTACTCGAGTCATCCTGAACAGGATTGACAGAACACTGGACGAAGGACAGCCATGCGAACAAGCAGGGTTCCGAAAAGGATTTAGTACCATGGACCACATCCACACGATCACAAGACTCATTGAAGTTTCGCGAGAGTACAAACAACCACTCTGTCTCACTTTTATCGATCTGAAGAAAGCCTTTGATTCAGTGGAAACAGAAGCGGTTATAGAGGCTCTGGATAACCAGGGCGTCCCTACTCGGTACATAATGATCCTTCGTGAGCTTTATAAAGATTTCACGACCAGAATATCTCCATTCTACAACAATATCACCATTGACGTAAGAAGAGGGGTTCGACAAGGCGATACAATTTCGCCAAAACTATTCACTGCCACCCTACAAAACGTCATGCGAACATTAGAATGGGACGAAATGGGAGTGAAAATTGACGGTCGACAATTAAACCATCTTCGCTTTGCTGACGATATCGTTCTCATAACACCAAACATCAGCCAAGCGGAACGAATGTTGACTGATTTCGATAACGCCTGTGGAAAGATCGGTCTTCAACTGAATCTAACGAAAACAATGTTCATGAGGAACGGATGGGTTTCTAATGCCCCATTCACGCTCAACGGAACGACAATTTCCGAATGCTCCAGTTACGTCTATCTAGGTCGTGAAATCAACATGATGAACGACCTAGCCCCAGAGTTGAGCAGGAGGAAACGAGCGGCTTGGGGAACGTTTAAGAGCATCGAAGATGTAGTGAAGAGGACAAAGAACATCCGACTCCGTGCCCACCTTTTCGACTCGACAATTATCCCTGCCCTAACGTATGCAGCAGAAACCTGGTCGCTACGTAAGCAGGATGAAAGATCACTTGCCGTTATCGAACGCGCAGTCGAAAGGTCGATGCTAGGAGTATCTCGTATCTCGCAAATGAGAGAAAGGATCCGAAGTTCCGACCTACGTCAACGATCGAAAATCAGAGGACGCCGTTCTACACGCCAGGATATCGAAAATAAGGTGGGCCGGACACGTGATGCGCTTCAACGACAACCGATGGACGAGAGCCGTTACCGACTGGATTCCTCGGGACGTCAAGCGCTCTAAAGGAAGACCACTGACCCGTTGGTCCGATTTCTTCACGAAAGCGATGGAAGAAAGATATGATGCTCAGCGAATCTCTAGAGCGGGGAGGTCCCACTGGGCTACTTTAGCACGAGTAAATCCTTAGCAAAAACTATGCTTGCTTTCCCGTGGAATGATGTAGAGAGTGCCATTTATATACTCGCGTTCACTTATTCAAAGGAATTGATGAGTAAATCCATGTACGGACGAGATTCTAAATTCCTAAAAGACCAGAAGAAAAATTTTTTGATGCTGAATTGCCTAGATAGTATATGGTTGCAGCACATTTGACGTTGAGACGGCTTTTGCTGCGACAAGAAGTCACATAGTTTATTATGTTTGTACCGAGCGGTTCCAAATTCGCAGAGTGTTTGCTCATCAGCGTACAAAATACGCTCTCGGTCATCATCCTCTACGGTGAAGCGAATGGGCCGAATGCATAGCCTAGCCTTAAGAAACTTCTAAGTGAAGAATGCTTGATTTTTTCCTTTGCAGTTGATTTTCTTTATTTGACCTTCTTTCTTAGTACTGTAATGCTACAGTCCCTGACATGACTTTTTATAAAATCGTTGTTTTATGGAATGACGTGTATATTATATCTGTCGTTTTTTTCCAATTTTCCATTTCTAATTAATTTTTACTACATCACGAGTATTTGCACTACTTATCGGCACTTATAAGTCTACAAAAGAATTGATGCGCTAGCCATTGGTCTCTTTATGGCCGACGACGTTGGCGGTTTCAGCTATGTCAAGTTTACTCCAAATTTCGTGGTAGCAAATGTAAAATATTTGTTCGTTTCTTCAAGAATGTAAAAAAATGTTGCGTGAGAAATAAGTGCACAACTCAACTAATTGTTGCATACGAGCCGTGATTACGGTGTAGTGAAACGCCATAGAGAATGACTAAGTGCAACCTCAAAAGGTTCTTACTTCCACGAATAGAATGGAAAAGAGTCCATTGAGCTAATTTTTGTCTTTTGGGCAAACAAGTTTCTAGTACTTGGCCTATTCAGCAGTGGCCAATGTTTCGACGATTTCGTCTTTTTCAGCTTGTGAAACTTTCGGGGAGATACGCACACTATTTAAGCATGTTCTTCCATAACTTCAAAGCTTTGTAGAAGAAATCTTTTCTGATCGCTAATCTCTCATTATTCTCTTAATTCTCTTAGATATATATATATATATATATATGAAACAACATAACACTGCGGAAATAGCAGTAAAATTACTAGAAGTTTCGAGTATAAGTCATCACAATGGCTGTCAGCTCAACTGGGTTTATAGAGCGAAATTGCATACGCGACCAAACCTGTTAAAGCTTGGTGGCTGATAGTTAACATTGAGATGTTGAAGAGTGAGTGGTGGTGTGAATGTACCTCTGTGATGTAGTGGTAGTAACATGCGTCTCCGGTATGTATGAAACGCGGGTTCGATTCCCTGCTGAGGCAGTGTTTTTGCTCACCACTCAGTTCTCTTAAGTATATATGAAACAACACAGCAATGCAAAAAAAGCGGTGGAAATACTAGAAATTTCTCTTCCTCTTATTGACTGAGACTGGCTGCAGAGAGCCCTACATGGGCAAGGAATGTATCTGTTCCTGGCCAAGGGATTATTCTGAGGTACGGGCGGAAGAATCAACCCAGAACATGTCGTGATGTAAAGATACGTGTAATTGATCAGTATTAATCACCGAAGGATTGGCCTCCCTCATATAATGTTTCGATTTCGACAGCGATCCTATTTACACCGAGAGCGTGACGAGTAGTAGATGATAAAGAGCGCATAACAGAAGCTTATAAGAGCTTCGTTAGTCCATCTTTGAATCAGTTGAATATGGAAAGCTTTGTTCGTTTTTGCGATAAAATTTAGAATCAAAATCGGCATGCACGTCTCGTTTGGGGACGGTTCGAAGACTCATTTCCTTGTTGAATTAGAACTCATTCTTATAGAGGCTCACAGCCAATCTAGAACATGAAGAGGAAAAAACTAGCAAAGAGACTGTTTTGAAGAGATCCACATCAAGTTTTTACATAGTGAAATGGGAATGTTTTTGCATTAGACTCTCATAAGTTTTGACGCTAGAGCAATAAACACCAAAGTTATCAGTCGGATGTGATTTAAATATCTCAAGAACACTAGTAAGAGTATGCGTTGTCAGCCTGACACATTTGTGCTATCTCTCAGACGACCAATCAATAGCGCTGATAAAACTCGTCAACCTTGAATTCAAAAAAGCTGTCAGTCTTGGGCGCAAATGATTAATGTCTCGATACTTTTTTTCGCTAATAAAGTGCGCCAGCGACCGGAAGGGGTGGTAGTCAGAAGGCAGCAAGTTAGGACTGTACGACTCATGATCTAACAACTCCTAGCGCATCGGTCAACTTCCTTTTTGTCAATTTGGCGAAATGAAGCCTTGCGCTGTTTTGAAGTAAGATGAGAGTGTAGCGACGTCGACGTGACAGTGCCGATTGCGGCGGTTCAGGTGCTCACAGTGGCGCTTGGCGTTGATCGTCTCTCAAAACTGCGAACCAGCTCTCCGATAGTCACAGTCAAATGCTCTTAATCGCTTCGATGACGTCCTGCGACAACTTCACGTGGACGCCCCAGAAACGCAGCTGATCCTTCAAGTCGGTGTCGCTGCGCGAAACTTAGCTGAGAACCAAATCGATGTCTGCCTGGACACAAATCTTTGAATCTGGCACGGTCAATGTTCTCGAAGGTGGTCAGTGCATCGCGTCCCAATTCGCCTCGTAAGACGGCAAAATGCGATAAAGCTATGTTGAGTGGTCATGATGCGGCATGTATGAACAAATTTGGGATCAAGGAAGGCTCAGAATATTCTCCATAAAACGCTATTAATCGGTCCTAAAGATGGCAGAAATGTGCTCAGGCTAATGGCAATATTATTGTTGGATGATTTTCATTACTTCTGGTTAATAATTTTGGGGTTTATTGCTCTAGTGCTAAGACTTATAAGAAGACTTCATAAAACATGGCTCCCACAATCGCCCAACCTCAGGCTTTCCCATTGCCGTACTTGCGTGAGTTAGAAAGACGCACTTTGTTTTGAGAAATAGTTACCAAATCCTAATATCACCTCTTTTGACATCTGTCAAGTGTTTTTACTTGTTTTATTAAACCAGTATTCTACATCTTTAATTATTTTCGCATTTATCTACATTATTCGTACAATCTACAACTTACAAATCGTGCACTCATTCAATAATTATATATATATATATATATATATACATATATATATTTATATCTATATTTATACATATATACAGAGATTTGTAGACGGCTGCATATATATATATATATATATATATATATATATATATATGTATGTATGTATGTATACTTGAGTACTTCGAAGTCCCATCTTCACTGATAATGTGTGCCTCAGCATAATTTCAAACTGTTTCTTTTGCGCAGTTGTCGTCCATGGTGGTAGTTTAATTGGAAATAGGTGACCTATGTAAGACACATTCCGCCATAATGCAATACTCGCTGCTTTCTTCAGATGCAAATGGATGACGTTATCCACAAATACGTCCGTCTATCATTTGGGTCTTGTTCAAAAGGACGCCTGCATGCTTTTGTAGTCCACTGCACTGTTCTTTCATCCATCTGTTATCTGCTCCTCTCATTATATTTTCGGTCCATGTAAGTATCGCTGTCAAATCATGTACTTCTGGATCTCGAAGATGAGGAAGCTTTCGTCGACTTGAACTGCGAAAAGCGACTAAACGTTCTGTGCGCCAAATAAATTTTAGAAGACTTCATGGGAGTTCTCTGTGGGTGATAAGCAGATTATGCGACGTGGCTGAAATAGCGAAAGTAAAACGGAGACCGTTTTGTAGAACTTGCGCGGCGTAGTTCTTTCACGGAAACTCGTTTTTTTGAGAAGAAAGAGAACTGCTGATAGACGTGGGAGTCACCAACGACACGACTCATGCGAAGATCGATGATATACTTAGAAACGGAAAATGGTGCCTTTTCAACACCTCAGTGTTACCTGGATTCTGAAAGGATTTGATCGCCGCCTTTCACGTGCAAACATTTGGATCAGCTATAAGGCGCAAAAAAAGTGCTGTGATCGCCCAAGAAAAGCAAAACAAGTCATGTACGACGAGGATGATCTCAAAGAAATCCTCTTGTCATACGATTGGCAGGTAAAAGAAGGCCAGACCGAAGACTACGACCTGCTTGACAATGACTCAAAACTTGTGACGAACAGCAATCAGTGTCCAAACAGAAAGTTTGGATCGCATTACTACTACTATCAAGGAATCGCTCGAAAAGAAAAGGAAACTGAAGCATGGTCCTTGTGTAACACACTGAACCAGGCTGGTAATAAATGTCTATTGTAGAAGATCCTTGCAGAAGCATTTACATCGACATAAACAGAGAAAGTTATTGGAAGCGACTAAAAAAAATTCTGGTGTGAAGAATTGCCGTCAAGGTCTTCGTGTTTACGATGTTCCGCTATCAAGTATAAAAAGTTTTATACAAACTTTTTTGTTCCACGACACCCGTATCGGATTCCAAATTTCTGTTGCTGGGAAACCATTCGGAATTCCAGCCTCTGAAGTTTGAGTTACGAGTTAGTTTGAGTTAGTTAGACACAGCTTCAGGACCTGATAATCACTTCCAATTATCTTGATGCTGCGCGTCACAACCTAAATATCTCCCGAGACACGATATCATACCTACAGGAAAAAATTCCACGTCAGAGGAGGACTTTGTGCACTGTCATTCCATCTGAGAAGGGTAAAAAAGGGATATTCGTAACTGCTGCCCGCATGCTAGTTAAGTTACTCTACAAGATATACACGAACATTGTTTTGCGCATCTCGGAAATGTTGGATAAGGCCCACTTAGTTGAGCAAGCAGATTACCGAAAGGGATTCAGATGTGTGGACCACATTCAAACCGTCTCACCGAGTCTTGGAACCCTGTAGGAAATACTGTATGCCACCTGTTCTGATCTTTATTGACTATGAGAAAGCGATTGATAGCACTGAAACGAGTGCAGTCATCTCACGATCGAAGTCTATAGCCGTCCTATATACGAACAATAATAGATCGCTACCAAAAATGCGGAACAAAATGTAGTTTTCCATCGACTCCCTCACCATATCCATCGAGGAAAAGAGTCGCCAAGGTGACACTATGTCGTCAGAGTATCCGCTGCAGAATCACAATCATTAATGAAGTCGCTCGATTGAGACAAAAATCTTAGGCATTGATGGAAAATTTTGATCAAACCTTCATTTCTCGCGTGACATCGTTTCTCAATCGTTAAGACCAGTCAAGCAGAAAACATGCTCAGCGAACTAATTGAAAGGGGAAAAATAATCCGTCTACAGATGAAGTGAATGAAGACCAATCTCGTTACCGGTGGTGTAATGGTGGACAATTTAAAATGCATAGTTTTCCGATTACGTAAATCACATCTTACGTCAACCTCGAACATTGAATGAACATGAAGAACAGCATAAAGGAGCACTAAGATTGAGCAAGGAAAGCAGCATGAGGTGTATTTGGGCCTGTCAAATGAGTCGCCAGCCCAATCAATCAGCTCCAAACTCCTTGCTCACCTTTTCGATTCTACATCCCTTCCAGCGCTTTGTTATGCAAAAATTGCGCACCCACCAGAGCATGAAGTTCTCCGAAAATTTTTTCTGCACGCACAACATCTAGCCAATTTGCGCAGTTCCATTTGCGCAAGTTGTTTCATCTTCGTAATTCAGAAATACATACCTTGACAGCGTCTTCACTGATGCCACTGACGGTACATTAACGTGATTTGAAAGCTTATCATATGCAGTCAAGAATACTTTAGTCACCACAGCTTCGAAGGGACACAGCCATTTAGCGCACCATGTCAAAACCGAAGAATCAAAATAAAATATACGGCGGCATGTTATCAACTCATCCATCCTGAGACTGCACTTTGCAGCCTGGCTACTGGATGCATTTTTTGGTGGTTTCAGGCAATTGCTTATAGATGCTACCTTAATCTGTTGACACAATAATGTTCATCTTTGTAGGAATAATTAAGCTATCAGCTACATGTTAGTGGTTCGAATGCAAACTCAAACTTGCAATTGGTTTGTGATTGTGAAATTATCAACGGGCAATGTGTTTGATACTGATATTGGTTGGGCAACCAAAAAGGTGTGATATAAAAGCAGCACGCTGAAGATCTTATTCACATTCGGTTAACGAGAATTCGGGATGTCATATTGGCTATTCTTCAGCGTAAGTGCTTGCGTTGTAATTACTCACAAACATGCTTTGTAGAGCTGACAATTCTCACATATTTCAGATTTATGCTTCGTTGTGCTATATTTCAGTCAGTTCGGAAAGTATCGAGGTAAGTTACTTCATTTTGAACAAAAAATTCCGGAGTACGCACGATATCGTTTGATAAAGTTC